TGACGTACCAGTGCTGATACAGAGCTCTCTTCCACTCCAGCAAAGTTATGCTCAGAAAACTACCCACAGTTTTCCCGACAGAGGAGAAGTTCCTTATCAACAATTGGAATGTGTCACTGTTTGAATCTTATTTGTTCAGCTTTGTGAGCTTTGAAATCACCCTCTGTACTTGATCAATTGTGTGGGCCAAAGAAACCCTTTTAAAGACATTATTTATGCCTTTATATATAAAAAAGATTGTTTTAAACCTGAGAGTTGTATAGGAAGAAGAGCGTTCAAATGAGAAATCAAGTGATCTGGAAAAAACACAAACTCAGTCTTACTGTAATTTGAAAGATGACTTGATAAAGTCATGATCATTTGATGGTTAAACAGTTTTGACAGTGTTCCATCTCATTTTTTTAAAGGTTCTCCTGATGCTAAACATCTAAGCTATCCTTGCGGGAGGGCTGCAATACTGTGAAGTTTACTCCTTTGAGAAACCCCCACCTAGAAGATGGGATAAGTCTGGTTTGCAGTCCTAGCTACATGAGGAGCAGATAAAGGCCCAGAATTCAATGTCCAGCACTAGTAAACAAATGACGTTCTGGATTGACACCCCTCATATTGTGTAACTCATTCTCATGACAGAGAGCTAGAAGTTTATTCCACTAATAGAACTGAACAGAAGTTTGGTATTGATGTGCCTCCTATTCAAGGAAAGGAGAATAAAAATGACTGTTCAAGGACTAGTCCAAATCCATCAGCTCCCTTTGGCCCTTTACTCGAGAGTCCAGAAAGATTTGCCCCAGTTCTGCTTCCAAGACCACCATTACAGCTTCAGAAGAAGGACTGTATTTCTTCCTAAACCCATGTCTCTCCTCCCTTTATGCACTTTTAACTATTCCTATATCATCCTCATACTGTCTATGTCTGTCTGTATCATCTACTTATCAACACAGATACAAATTACAGATAGTCAGAGGTTATGTGAGCCTCTGGAACAAATATCACTCACACAGAGCTGTGAAGTGACTTGCTTAAGGTCACTCAGGAACTCAGAATCAGCTTAAAATAAAAGCCATATCTGAGTCCTACCTGTAGGACTGAAATCTGCCTCTCTTTCATCATGTGTACAGACAGAAATAAGTCTTCATTGTATACTACAGAAAAAAGTCTTTCCACTTAAAATATAAAATAGATATGAACATTCCATAAGAAACAGATTAATTCTACCTCATTAAACTTATTGACAATAAAAAAAACATCATCTTTATTGTGGTTTGCATCTATTAAAATATTTACACTCAGCTTTTATGTTCCATTAACAAACTGAGTTTCACTGCACATGCAAAGATCAGGATGTGTATTTCAGCTTAATTAGCAAGCAACAGAAAAAAGAAACTAACATATGCACAAGACAGGCTCTGCCCCAGCTTATTGAACCCGCAGACAGTTACTCAACCTTTGAAATCTTTGATTTAGAGCTATTGATTACATATCTGGATGATCTGGTAAACACAGATACATGCAAGCAGATGTAATAAAAAAAACCCAGACTCACTGGAGATGGCTATTGGTCATGGCAGCTTGCTTGGATCTGATAATGTTCCAACAGCAAAATATTCCAGACAGCGGGTAGAACATTTGACTTCATTAGGACCAGTTTCATTTAGCCATTTCTAATTATGTGGTAGTTCGCCATTTGATAACTCTTTGATATGTATGCTTTTCACCTGAATATTTCAGGATGACAAAAATTTAAACGTTGAATTCCTGCATTCCTAGTCTAAGGCACACAGACCGCAGGCATTGCATTGCAGCCCCAAATCTCGTAAGGCTGACCTGTAAAAGTCTGCAGCAACTGTATGGCTCTCCCTCGTGACATGCCCTACAGCAAGTGCTGAGGGAGACCCCTGTGGCCATGACGATTCTGTGCTGTGGATGCTGACTCTCAAGAAGAGGAGAGGAAATCCCACCTCTGTAATTTGCACAAATTGGGATTCTACACCAGACTGCTAATTACCATTAAACACCACTATAAGGTAAGCTCTCTAAAACTTATTTCCTGCTAGCAGCAGAGAAATACAGTTCAAAGCAATGCAGTGCCACAAAGAGAATCATCAGCGTCATTTACTTTATATTTGACATTTAAATCACTGTGTTTGAGCAGCTGAAAAAAGATGTCTTAGACCTCCCATCTACACACAAAAGATCTCAGTCATTTGGACAGTTGTGTTGAGAGAGTTAAAGCATCCATCAGACCACCGATTTCATCAAGACAAGTACTACACATTATGATACCTTAGTCCACGCTAAGGAAAGCGGCAGACAAGGAAAGAAAGAAATACAAAGTGTGTATGTATGTGGGTTTATGTGTGCATGGAAAACAGTAGGCATACAGAATTACTCTCTGCATCTTTTTAAAATATCAGTTAAAAGCCAGAATTACAGTGTATTCTGCTGCAGGCGGCAGGATCCTCTACATTCAAAGATGCAGTACATAGTAAACATAATAGCAACATTTCCTTTCAACTAACAGTATACAACTGCATGCATTCCAATAATTAATGAAATTACATTTTGTAAATTCAGGATGCTTGGATGTTAGCAAGAGTTCTAAAGGTCAGAAATGTGCCATGAAGACTACTAAAGCCAACGAATTATGGATAAACTTCTGATGAAGGGGAGAGATTGAAACGCTGCGATATATGTGTACGTACATCTGTATACACACACACATATTCACATGTGAACACAAGCAAAAACAGCGTAGCAGCCAATAGCCCAATCCCATACCTAAAATATTCTGCTGAGCTTTCTGCCCAGTCATCTGTTCCTGTTGACAAGATTTTACAGATCAACGTGATTTTTTTTTGTTATTTTTTTCACTGAATATGGCCTTTAAAGTAACATCTCTGAGGCTTTTCTGTTCCGTGGCTTCAGGTTACCTCCCACAAAGATTACAGGGGTCCTTTTCTGTCACCATGTCTCTGTATTCCTCTGGCATCGAGTCTCAAATGTGAAAAATAACAGCTTATAGCATTCAGCTGATAACAGGTTACGTGAAGGAAGGGTAGTGAGGAAGAAGAGGCAAGCTACCATTTTATCAGTCCTGAACTGGCAAATAAGTGCCCTTGACCATTTAAAATGATTTTCAGATTCTACAGTAAAAGTTCAAAGCACTTGTAGTAATTTCTGCAAAAAGCATCTTAACAGAAAAACGCTGTGATTTTAATTGCAGTCAATTATTTTTTCCCAGAGATTTAACACATTTTTAAATATTCTGAGTTTTGTGCACCACTGTAGTCTCTAGAGGTTACAGACAGCAGCCCTCTTCTGCAAAAAGCAGCGCAACAAATAACTGCCACTGAAGCAAAACACATGACAATACTCCAGATAGAATCATATTCCCTAGAGGAGGAGAAGTTAGAGCTCTGCTGTCAGAGACTTGGGCTAACTCAGTTCCCTTCTCAGTCTTACAAGACTGTGCTTTTAAAGTAAGCCTTATGCTTCAGGGAGTACCACAAAGTAGAAGAAATACATCCAGTAAGCTAACTCAGTTCCTATATTTATTATCTTAATATCCACATAAGGAGCTGCAAGCAGTCGCACTATTAGCAGCACTTTACCAGGCACTGCTGCACTTTTCCGCAAGCTCTTTTCCTGGAATCATTCTCACTTCTAAAGCCATTCAGTTGGAGCAATGAAATGCCACTAGTAGTGTCTACACACTGGTTTCAAGCAGAAAAGATTGGCAGCGTTCTGCCAGGGCAGTTAAGACCTGATGGGCAGCGTTCTCATATGCTGTACCATAGATCTCTGACCATCCTGTGGTCATTCTGCAGTGTCACACCAGAGAACACATCTCATGCTCTCTGGAGCTTTAAACAAAGCATGACAGGAAAAATATGACAGCCCGCAAATATAAAAGGTCAGTGTAACAACACAAACCAAACCCCTCTACACATTGGAAGATAGGATTTCACCATGGTTTAGCTGGTCTCCCTGTGGCACAAAAATGCTGCCTGTAAAGGGAGAGTTAGGAGAAGAGGGATGTGATCTTAGTTATACATGAGGGGCAAAGTATAGATATAGTGTATATATACATATATGTGTGTGTATGTATGTATGTGAAGTATAGGGATCATATAGGGAATAAATGGTGAAATAGAGAGGTAAAGAAATTCATGGATTAACGAGAGCAATGCAATAGGAGAAAGGAAGATGGAAGTGGGAAATAAGACTAAGAAAATGACCATTAAGAAGTTAAAAATAGAACCATCAACGTAGGAGGGACTGAAAGAATATATTCAACTTCAAGGTCAGGAAAACTGAATATATTATTTATTTTTGATTGTCCATGTTTTTGCAGTCAAAATGCCAAATATAGAATGGGTGTGCTTGCAGGGAGAGAAGTGCCCAAGTCATTTAGCAGTACAAATCACCCTGAAAGCTACTGGGTGTGAAAGAAGATGTTATGTGTCTTCTGCTCTTAAATCCCCCAACTGCCTGTGTTAATCCCTCCTGCACGGGCACATATCTGTGTAAGTGTATACACTGTAAATTATTTTAACCCTGCATACAAGAATGAGCAGTGTTTTAATACTTATGTTAATACCCAGAAGCAGAATCCAACTGATTCCAGTAAAGGATATTATGGTGGCAGAGGTGGTCTCAATTACCTGAAACGCTCACGTAAATAAAAGCTGAAAATCAAAGGAAATGTATTTCAAAGACTATTGATGCTTAAGGCATACTACTATGATGCTTAAGACTATTACTATGCTTAAGACATAATGGCTTCAAATGAATCTTTTGGATCAATAGCTAATTTTAGTGACCTTTTTCAAGTACATAAATACTGGAGAAAAGCAGAAGAGTAAAGAAGCATAACTCAACTCTGCCAGCAGTTTCACCCAACAACATGTGAGCAACCCCCCCCATACATTGATTAGGCAAAGAGTACAAGACAAACAAGTTATCTTTGATCAAAGCAACAAAAGGAAAAATAAACCTACCTTCTGTCACCCCAATGTCAATAGTTCCTTTTACTTGACTAAAACACCACAGCACATCCTGCATGAGGTTTCCAAATCCTGCCAGGGGAACAAATGCAGAAAGAAGATATACTCACACTTCTGTACAGCTCGTCTTTTTTTGAACAAACACACACACATGCACATACAAATTGGCACACAAATATCTGCAGTCCCTGCGTGAAGAGAAATATTTGCTCACCTGGTATCATTCTTCCATACAAAGTGCAAAGCTAACACTGCAAAACTGAAAACATTATGCCTGCGTTATGAATTGCTTGTCTGTCTGTTTTCTCTGTACCATGTTAGGGCTATTTTGAAAATGGTGCAATTGGAGTCAGTCCCCTCTACATCACTGGCAGCATCATAGAAGAGTCAGGAGGCCCTGTAGTCACGATCTTTGTCACAGCCTCTCTTCACCAGAATACTAATGCCCACATCATTTCCATCGTTGTTAAAAAGGGAGTGAAACAGAGAAAAAAAGAGCTACAACAACAACAACAACAACAACAACAACAACATTTTTTCCAGTTTATGGCCAATGTAGTTGTGAACTGCTTGGCAGTGATTCTCAGCAGAATGAAACCACATTAGATGCATCATAACAATATTATCAAAATTTGCCTGGAATCAGAAGTATACTGTATTTGTTTTAAACGAATACTACAGGCATTTCTATTATAAGGCATGTTTAGTAAACTGTGTATCTCTAAACTGCTCTTGCTACTGTAGCAATACTCTTGTGTTAAGACACTCCGAGAGAAATCAGGATTTTATCTACTGCTGCTCATTCTCCTGACAGCTCAGCAAATTTTTCCTTTCTGTAATGCAGTTTTCACTGTAGCAAAAAATTCACAGCCTCTAAGGACAACTTGCTTCCTCTTATCCTAACACACATTTTATCTCTAAGCACTTTTCAAACGTGAAGAAAGCAGCACAATGGAGTCGTGAGGGAAGGAAATACCATTTTACCCATTTTACACACAGTTGAAATGTGGCACCAGAAAATTTGAGTGTTTCACAGTCTGCAAGTGTGATCTTAATCAGGAGACCAAGCTATACTCTAACTTATTCCTTTCTTACAAAAGAAAAAATAGGATGGATAGACAGATAATGTATAGGTAGAGGTATAACTAAGTTAAGCAAACCAACTCGTAGCCTAGCCACATGTCTTTGTGAGATTTCTGTCCTAACAGAACTATGCTGAGGAAATAACCTGTTCAAGTTTTAGAGTCAAAGAAAGGGAAATCTGAATATAGTTTATTTGAAACTTACATTTAATTTGATCTTCCCATTTTCTGTTATACATATATGCTCCAGACAACTATCTGTCCAGGCATCCATCCGTCTGCTGCTCTGTCTTTCCATTTATTTGTTGTCTGTTTTTATAATTCCATGAAAAACATTAAAATTGAAAATGATGCAAAGATTAGGAAACGCAAAATGAGGAGGAAATCCTAACTACTTATGCTTATAACTTTCAAAAGTGTTTTTATTTATATCATGGCCATTTTTTGCATATTAATACAGATCAATAGATATCAAATATGTTAAACAGCAAAATAATCATATACAATGCATTACAACAGTACCTACAAATTGTAGAATGAGTTTTTTGGAAGAGTCAAGCCAAATACGGTGAAATCTGGAGTTTTAAGAGTACAAAAAGACCTGGAGTCTGAGGGTATGACACAGTTTGATAAGACCTTGAAAGAATATTAAGTTTAGTGAGATTCCTAATTTTACATCATCAAACAATAGGCACAGCTACAAGAATATGACATGAAGATGTGAAAAAAATTACAAATTTACAAAAAAATTGTTAACATTGTTGTATAAACATTAATGCCTCATAAATTTTGCTAATAGGTTTGAAAAGCAAGAGAACAACATGCTGGTTGAGAGGAGCAATGTCATTATGCCCTTTCCAGAAAGCTCTTTTGTATCGTTATTACCTCCTCTCAGATAAAAGGAAATAACCAACTCCTTGAAGCAAAAAAGGATTTGTGACTTAAAATTCTTCCTCCTAGCCTGAGAATCCAATCAGATCTAACAAGTTTCTGAGAAATGGCATTTTTGTGGTTTTCAATGTCTTGCCTGTTTGCAAGAATGGACCTGGAAAGGAGAATAGACAGAGAGTATGAAACCCCATGAGTTAACAAACCCTGGTTTTCTTGCTGGCTGTTTGCCCAGCTAGGGACAGCTGTAATTCAGCATTGTCTGCAGCTCTTGTTAAAGAAAAGCTACATTTTTTTTCTCAGCATCAGATCAGGGTTTTTCTTCATGAAATGCAAAAATGAGTTTTTAGAAGAATTATTTATATTCTCAACAGCCCTGAAAAGTGACCCCTTTGCCATTGTATCGGCTACGGCAAATGGCTGGGCTGGTATGAAATAAATAGGCCTTCTGTCAATCCACTGGACTGTTTGTTACGACGCAGCTGCTTATAAAAATCTTTAGGAACAGTTTTAATATAGATAACAAACAAAGGCAGGTATCTAATGTGGTTCTGGTTGTTTTTAAATAAGCCTAATTTTTAATAGATTTCTACTGGTAAGTCTGCCTCTGACTATTTACAGCGACTGAAGATCCAGTGGTGCTTCTAGTGAGAGCAGGGATGAAAGGCCTAATTCTGTACTCAAACTTAGGTATTGATAAATATGTTTGGCCATTTGAAATCCTGTCCTCATCCTGATATTACTCCATGGATTCAGGTACCACTCACATTGGAGTCAGTCAGAAAAGAAGCTGAATTAGAACAGATCTTGGTCCAAGTGTATTTTCACTGTCTGTCTGATAGAGGTCATCTTATGGACTACTGAAAAGCTGCAAATTCTACTTTACTAGTTAGTGCAAATCTGGGGACAGGGAAGGAAACACACTTTTGTTGGTTCTAAGAATTTCCTATCCTGGTGCACCACTTTGAATCCTCCAGAATTAACTCACCTTCTACACAAACTGACGCAACCCTGCATGGATTAACTCCAACAGAATTTGAGTTTCATTTTTTAAGTCATTGAGCTCTTAGGAAAAACACACCAACAAAGCCAATAATTTTCTTCCCTTACTAGGGACAGTAAAAAAAAAAACAAACAATAACTTCAGAATCTGGCCCAAATAAAATACCTTTGCAAAGAAAATTAAAGGAATATATATGACAGAATGTCAAACAGGATATAAAGTAGGTGAGCCACTTGCCTCTAATTCTCTGTTGTAATTACCTGAGCAAAGACCACTCTATACCATGAAAATAATTAAAATTAAATAATAATAATAATTATAATAAAGTTGTTTCAGCCATTAACAATGTGTTATTTATCAGGAGGCACTTGTTTTACTTTTAAACTATGGACCAGGTTTTCTGTTTCCTTGAGTTGCTCAACAAAGTCTTGAAGACCATTTCTACCCTCTTGAAACATTTCCACATGAAAAGATTGTAAACGGACTCCATTTTATAGACTGCAGATTTTCTAGAGATTGTAGTTTCCAAATTAGAGATAAATGTGGCATGTCATATTACAACGGGACTATTGCAATAAATATTATAGAAACCATCCAAATAGTTCTTTAAATGGATGGAAGTTGGATGAGAAAGAATTCATGGTGGCCTTCAAACTGAGCTGAAAGACACAGGATGATTAACTGCAATACTAAAGGCTAGTATTTTGCCCCTTTAACAATGATATGTTTCATGAGGGAGAATTTATTTCCAAAGGCATACTTCTAGCACATGTTTTAAACAGATCTGTTTTCCAATTTCAATATACAAAACACTTTCAGTATGGATGTATGCAGAATAGTGTCCTAGGAAAAATTAAGTTCCATGCCTTCTTAAACTTTCAACACTTTAGTTTTAAATTAAATTAAATATTAGGCGTCGCACTGGCAGAAAATCTTGGCAACTGGATTAAAAACAACGACAGACGGCATTACCCCAATTAAAGCTGAGCAATGCCATAAAAATGTTTATGCCATTGCAAAAAATAGTTGGATTCATTCTTATTTCATGCATAACCTTGGATTTGATGTTTTATTAATTTCCATTTCTACCTTTTCTTTCCTAAATAAATATTAGTTCATTCCATAGTATCACATGTCCTAACAGCTCATAAGCAAGAACTAAATTATTTCCTTATACTCAGTTAGACTTCAGACACACCATGCTATGTTTTGGGGCAACACTACCCAGCTGTGAACTGCAGTTGTTAGCGCACTCTGTAGACACAGGCAGTCTAGTTTTAAAAAGTGACATTTTAGATGATCTTGCTTGGGCATCTTAGAAAGGTAAAGGACAAGACAAGTAGAAACAAACTAATTGAGCACAATCTGGGCACTGAAATAAATGGATTTCTTGTTAACTTTTCAAGCTGAAATACATAGTCTTCTGTATTACAAGTCAGAATGATTAATTATGTTCAGTAGGTCTTGATCTGATCCCACTGTTATGACCTTAATGCATAAACCTCAGCGCAGCTATTCCTAACTGGTCAGAGTTTGAGAACAGGAACTGATTGACCGTTTATTAATATTGGCCGTTACTTAACTCCTCGATAAGATGCAAGGCTCTACATATAAAATAGAAAAAATATTGACTCCGAAGAATTGGAGGATTTTGACTTTCCAAGGAAAGCTGCACAAAAGAAAGGTGCCTTCTGAAGACACGAAATAAAGGCTTCCCCCTGCAGAAAAGGGGAAGTAACTTCAAGTCTACCTTTTTTATCGGAAAAGAAGGACGAACATGAATCAAGCTGTTTGGAGAGATGGTTAATAATGCAGAAGAGTCAGGCAATGGGATTGGAAAAGGATTTGTGCTATTTCTACAACACTGATTTCCTGTCTTCCTTTTGGTTTTGCTCAAACGTACAAGGCGAAGATAAATGTTGATGCATTTGGCATAAATTCTTCCCTGATGCTCACATCATTGAAATGATCCATGGGAAAGAGGCATGACAAACTCCGAAAAGTTTGAATACACAATATGTGACAGCACAAGATGATTCTCAACTAAGATATCAGTTAATATTCAATATTACTTTTGATAGTTGTGCAAGAACTGAAAGTAAAAGGTAACCTAAGCCAATATTTAGAAAGTTTGAAACTTCAGTCTGTAACAGGAAGTGCTATACAAATACTGAATTTGTTTTTATTCACAACTGTTTAGGTGTTTAAGTTTTGTTGTTCTTCCTGAGTCTTTTTCAAGCTAACAAGATGCAGTGGTAACAAAACACTAATTCTTTCTCTGAAAGATGTAGTCAATCTCCAGTTGTAGGACTAGATCAAAAGTGTATTTGTGAGCAATTTTTTTTACATAT